TAGACGAAATAAATTTATATACTGGAAGCTGCTGGTAATCCTTTAACTTGATTAATACTCGGTCTTACAATAAGAAATTTTATACGATTCAATAAGTTATATATTGGCGCAAAAGAAAGAGAAAAAAAGCAACGGCAATAAAACAAATAAATACCAGAAAGTTCAAAGTTTCTTTTTTTTTTTTTTACAGAGAGTTCAAAATCCTTAAGCTGAGACCACATTAGCACAGTTTTAACAAACTCAAATGATAAAGTCCTGTGAATGTACGTGGTAAAGTGTATCGCAAACAAACCCACTACTTTTCTTTTTTCTCCTTTTGTTTTACTTGCTCTTCTCTTTAGCAACCACAACCAAACTGTTCTATTTTTTTTCTTGCCTTCTATTAGTTTTAATACTCTATTTTCAGTATCAATTTACTGTTGACTTTTCGTGAAACTATCAAAATGAAAAGTTAGTCTTGAAAAAAAAAAAAAACAACATCCGACAACTGAAAAGCAACAAAAACAAGACCAATTAATTTAAATAAAATATCATCAGACTTTACTCCACCTACGCACCGTCTGATGTCCCTGTTCCAAATTGCTTCTTAACTTTTAAATTGTCTCTTCTCCGTATTTCCATAGGAGTAAATTAACCCCCAAATGACTTCACAGCCATTATCACAAGACCAAAGTTTCACACCTCATCGCAATGAAACAGCCTAAAAAACAAAACCCGTCTTGTGCAAATCTACAACAACCTCTCAAAATTCATACAAAATTACGGGCAAAACAGACCTTTCAAATTGAACATTGAATCACCTCGTGCAGAAATTTGAGACAAATTTTTCACACCAAAACAAGGCGCAAACACATAAAATGCATCGTACTTTTCTCTAAACACAAATTTTTGATAGAATAACAACTTCAAAAACCTAATTCTTTCATAAAATAATTTATTTCGAACAGTGATAAGATGAACAAGTACAGCAAATTCTAGAACACGACTATTACAGGAAAAAAAAAATCACCAAAAAAATCATTAATTCCACCAGAAACCCCAAAGCCAAGCTCATCTTCAGTAATCTTTGGAAATCTTGATTTATCTTCAACCAACTAAAAATAATTAAAATAGTTCTTTCACAAATGCACTGAGCAGTGGCAAAAAAACGACTATAAAAAGTCATCAAACAATTATACCATTTGGGCAGATATCACAAGAAACGAAAACAATGAACAATCAAAACAATTCTATAAATAAATTAAATCAAATCTTCTTTCCAAATTTGTCGGGCAGCGCCTTAGTTGAAGGGCAGTGTTATGTCGGAGAAGACACAGCCAACTTCTTCAAATGCTCCATAAATACTTGCAAAGAAACATCATCAGTAAACACAGGTGCCCCTCCGTCCTAAATAAAGCAACTTTTACAGGTTGAAAAAATTAATATAAAGTTTCAAATCAGTTTAAAAATCAAAAACACTGCTTTGTTGCACAAAATGCTTTCTAAATAGAAAATTGGGAAACAGCTGTTTGCTAACTTACCGCTGCATAAGGGTTATTATGTGTTAATGAAGGATTTACTTTTGATAACAAGAACCGCGCCTAAAAAGAAATTTAATTAAGTGAGAACTAAAACTGAAATCATTCCAGTGGAAAAGACAACAAAATCAAGAAAAAAACCAGCTGATAGATCAGCCAGAAAGAAGACAAATGTAAAAGACAGTACGTGCCTGTGATCCTTCATATTCAGTCACTATGTATCGCGGCATCGGAAAACGTTCTTGTAAAATGGCAGCAGCATCTGCTACAGGAGCTTCTAATAACTGCTTGAACACCCCATACTGGGGGTCATCCTGATAATTCATTTTCCTCCAAGCGGCTATCGTCTAAAGAAGTACGATAAGAAGACAAAACTACCATTTCTTAATAAAAGTGACTTCCAGCATATAACTAGTGAGAAGAAAAATATCCGAACTTTGATGCAATAGTACAAATAAACAGCTCTGATATACCTGGCCGTGATATATAAGTACGTGAAAATAATCATCCATAAGCAAAATCCTGTCGGGTAAAATTGAAGAAGTATCTAGAAGAACTGGTTCAGGTGGACCACTAAATGAGTAGGCAAAAAGCACAGGTTGTATCATAGTGGTACTTTCAAGCACATTTTCGGACATTAATATATGCCTAAATCATGACGTTATTTAGTTTCACTTTTTAGCCTTATTGGTAAACAATACCACAATATATTGAATCACTTTAAAGTGGAGTATACCTATAATAAGCAGTTTCATCAGGGGAATTGTTAAAAACTTGCAAAAATTGAGAACGACGTAGATGGAACATAAACTGTGGAAACAATGAAAACCTATCAGAAAGACGGAAAGAGGCTGGGTCATCCTGCAAAAAGAATAAGTTATGAAGGACCTTTGCTGTAAAGCTTTGAGTGAAGTGGCATCAGTGAAACCAAATGCTTTAATTATTACTTTGCTATACTCGCCAAACTTTTGACACAAGCGAATAAGACTTCTATCAACCCATCGTAAAGCATCCGGGGTATCGTTCTCATTAGAAGCCCTCCATGAAGCTAAACGAGCCATAATAACAGCTGCTGCTTCCTTAAAAAAAACTATTCACAAAAAGTGCAATAAAAAACTATTACGTAGAAGAAGAACAGCTAATAGCCAGCAGACTGCGCTGTAAAATGAAGTTACAACTCCTTTCTAACAGTTTTCATTTTCAAAGCAATAATAATAAATCAACAGAAAAGTTTCAAGTATTAAAATTAATCCAACCTGGTCAAAACTGTAAGCGATACTTGGCTGTTGTGACGCCATATCAGCCCAGTTACGACACGTTGTCGTCACGCGAATACGCTTCCGACCATCCGGGTGTTGATACTGGGTAACAAATTGGATCATACCTCGCGCCCCTTGTGGAACTGCAGAACCATGCTAAAATGAGAATCACAGGAAATATATGTTTAAAATTTTCGAAAAGAAAGATTTCTAAACATTCATTCGAAAGAGTTATGAAAACCAAACTTTCTCATGTCCAGCCCTAAAAGTTTTTATGATCGGACTTGAAAATTGTATTGAACTACTTAATCACCTGAGCAGCAATTTCGAGCAGGACCGCAACAGTATGCTTCGGAGTTAAGGAGCAAAATTTCCACTGACAAGTGCCGCCAATACCCATTTCCGTGTCGGAAACTGAGGCATTTTTAACATTTCCGTTCGCACAGCAACCAAGAAGCCCCTCAATCTTCAACCCAGTACCAACTTTGATCTACAAGATTCTACATCAGTCATACTTAATTCCTAATAAAAGGAACAAATTTGAAAATCAAAAAGTACCTCCATGGTAGCATTAAATCCCATTTTCAGGTGGCCTTTACCATCCTTTTCAAAAACTCTTTGATATGTTTGTTTAAACAGTGAAGAACTGAAGCTATCACCCATCACAACATTACCTGTAAACAAAATCCAAAGGTGAAAGAAACTAAAATTCTACAAAAAAATGAATCAAATAACAGTGGTAATGTTACCTGTAGTAGTGTTGAAACAAGAACGCATTTCATTTAACCCGGTTTGGTCAAGAGAACAGGAATAGATATCAATAACATGACCGTTCTTCACTGCTCTTGTTGCTAAACTATCATAAAACTTCGTAGCCTAGAAGTACGTGTGAATCAGATAACTTAATGTTGTTCTGGTAAAATAAAGCCAAATGAACAGCGAAATAAAAAAATACCTTCTTCATAAAGGGTGCATTATCTTCTTTGATTGTGTGCCACGAACGGATAGGATTTTTTAATTCTTCTCCAACAACCATGCCCGGTCCATGGGTACAAGCTCCACCAATAAAGGTCATGACACGTGCACCCGTATTTGGAAATGAAACCTTAAAAACACGACAAACACTGAAGTATAAGTTTCATGTACTATATTAAAATTTCAGAAATTGACAAAACGAAATTAACCTCCAGTAAAGTTACAGCTACAGCAAGGGCAGCTCCTGTTGCTCGTAGTGGACGATGGCCTTGCGGGACAGGCCAACGGTCAGGTCTAATTTGCTCAATAAGATCGTTGATCGACATATCACAGTCACTGATTGGCTGAAAATATTGAGCAGCTATTAAAATACTTGCTAACTACGGAACTGACAAATAAAAAAAAATCAAGTTTTTACTAGAGGAACTTAATTTACGACAACTGCCTGCAAACAAAATTAGAATAGAGTGGTTAAACGGCAGAAATACAAACTTGAATGAATTTGTTAAAAGGCAGTTGCGAATGAGCTTGTTGTGGCTGTGCAGAATTCTGGACATTCATCATATTTGGACCAGGAAAACCGGGTCTTGGAGGTGGTACAACACCGGGAGCCATACCTTGCGAAGGCATCGCTCCAGGTTGCGAAGTCACAGGACCAACAGATGCTCCTGACGGCTTGCCAATATTTAGTGCGATAACGTCTTTTAATTGCTTTTGTGTCACTTCTTTCGTTCCCTAAGACATCATTAAACATTAAGCAAGACAGAAATGTTTGTCCAGTTGAGATACTAATCAATTAACATTGAAATGAGTTGTAGACCCACTTTAAAGACATAAGCCCGTGAAATCCCTTGAACGTTAAGTTCATGAAGTTCTACCATACGTCCATAAGTGATCAAACCCACTAGAGCGTCAGCAGGTAACAAAGACAGCGCAGTTTGCATCGATTCTTTCAAAGCTTTTAATTCTTCTTCCGACAAACAGGTGTCAACAACGAATATGAAAATAGGAGGCAAGGTGGTAGCTTTCTAAAATAATATTTGGAAAGTTTAAGAAATAAAGAAGAATAATTACTGAAAAAAAAAAGAGCAGACCTTTAGAGTGTACTCAATAGTTGTAAACTGAGGGTAAAGTTCCGGTGGGCGATTGTCTTCAGCAATCATAGAGTAATGAGGTGGGAACGGATTCCTTTGGTTACAAAACGGGCATATCCAACTTTTAGTACGAAAGTCAACCATACTATAATTAAGCAATCAGGCTCATTCAAAAGAAAACATAATTTGACTTCTATCTAAAATTCTATTTAGAAAAGCTGAAACACCGAACCAAAGAGGATTCAGCACCGCTTTGCAGGTTGACTTCTGGCACAGAACCGGATCATATTCTAAAGGAGGTTGCTGCGGTTGATCCACAGGCCGTTCCTAAAGTAGACAGTTAAGTGATAGAACCCTAAAGGCTGCAGTTGTCCCCATCAATTGAAAGCCGTTAAAAAAGTTAACATTTTTAAAAATGCAGTATCTTGGTCCCGCAAGAAAAAAAGACCTTGAGTCAACTAGTAAATCACTGTTGCAAAAATATCATCCTAGTTTGAAAAAAATTTAACGATGAATAAATTAATGTAAGAGCATAAAAAACTAAAATTCAAGCTAATCTGTACCAAACACTGTGCACTTAAAAGCTTCCAAATAAGAAAAGCTTTAACAAACTTTTAGAGGAGTAAAAAACGTAGCCACTGGTACAACCAGTCTTTGTGCATCAATTCTGGAGTGCGGCCACACATTCCACGTCATTTTGACGCCATCAATATTTTCTTGATTAGCCAAATATTCCTCCCAAGTTGCCATGGCAGAACTTCAAGTATGAGTCGATCACTGTAAAGTAACTTTGGCCTCATTAATAATGCAAAGATATTCGCCGAAAAAGGACATACAATTATTAGCTAAACGTAACCGAAACAGCAGTTAAACTCAGCGAAGGACAAGTTTAACATAATCAGAAAAGACGTCTTTTTGTACTTTCAGTTCATTAAAAGCAGCTGTAGTAAATTAACTTCATCTCATTTATTAATTATAAATAGTGACTTCAGAAAACCAGAAATGAATAATGCTTTTAGGATTTCGAGACAGCAACCACATTAGACAGTTTTAATGGCAATCTTGAAACAAAATTTCACTGTCAACCGTCATAATGTTCAATCTTTTCAACACTGGAAAATTGGCTTTAGAAAGGTGAATAGAGTAAAATTTTGCTGCTTTAAATCCAAAGAAAGAAGAAGAAAAAGCAGTTAAATCTGAATCAATAATAACCAGATATTTCTTGCCTATAATCAAGTGCACAGATAAAAGCCAAAGGTAAAACAGTGAAACTTTTTCCACTAATTTAAACCAACTATTTAAAGAAGCCATTTCGGGTAAATTCCTAAATTTAAAAACTTTCACGCTTAAAACTAATTAAAGAAAAAAGAATACTTTTTTTCGAATACCAATTGACCAAAATAGCTTACAAGTTCCATAAAATAAAGCCGAAGGACAAGCGCTCGTAAGATTGAAATACTGAGCAGCAAAAATCCAAATCAGTTATCAAGTCATCAATTTCAGGAGAACCCTTCACTTTTTTCCCTCTCTCAAAACAGATTTTTAGTGAATCAGTCTTAGCTTGTAGTATTTTTACTAAATAAGGAAAATAAAAAGAACAAAAAAAAAAA